CACCCCCCCCACCAACCCGGCCATAGCCCCATCACCCAAACACCTCCCCTCAGTACCAGCAGGCACCCACCCCCACTACACCCTCCCCCATATACCCCCTAAGCCCTGATCCTCCAACCCCTGCCCCCCATAGACTTACCTATATCCAGCTACTGTGACAGGTATGTGCATATGCGTGCTCACACACATGGTGCCCCCTGCCTCTAATCACCCTCCCTGCTCCCCCTCCAGCCCCAAAACAGCTCCTTGCAGGCTGGAAGGCTGCCAACTTGCAAGAGGAAACCTACATTTTTCCATGATTTTCTCCTTTAAAAGAGGAAAATCCACTTTTCTCCTTTAAAGGAGAAAGTCCTCATTTTTCTGCAACAAATAGAAAACTTAAGTCCCTGCTAATCAGTCAGACTATACCAATTTGCAGAATAAAATACCATGTTTACTCAAATAGAAGATGACCCTGATAATATACCCCCGCCCCCATAATTAAATTCAATAGATGGAAAAAATTATAAATTTGTATAGAATTTAGTTATTGGAGGTTTGCCTTGAATCTGTTCTCCTCCCACTGCTACAGCAGGGAAAATAAATCGGGGCGGGGGGGAGGGGGAGGGCGTGCTCAGGTAGTTCCTTTGCTGTTTCTGCCCAACATTTTCCCCTGGCAGCCCATTCCCCCTCTCCGTATTGTCCAACCCTGTTTTCCCTGAGCACGTGGAAGTGAGGAGCAAATTTGAAAACAACCTTGATATTAAACATAGCAATTTGCATATAGTACCCATGTACTAAGTTCATCCAGAATTGATGCATGTCACCTTTTTTTGAAACTGCCACAAGTTTTGACACAGGTACCCCATGCACACTTTGAAGCAGCATGCTGGCACCTACATTTATGTAGTACAAACTTTTTTTTTTTAATTTAGTTTCAAGGGCTAAATCTGTTCCAAACTCTATTGGGAAAAGCCCAATAGTCAAGTTCCATGTAGCCATGTCAGTGGGACATGGTCCATGGCTAGAGTAATGGGGGACCAGGGAGATGGGAGCCAAGGGCCTCAACCATACATCTTGTAGCAGGACGCTCCTTTTCAAATCACTGAATGTTTTTATTCCTGAGAAAGGAGTTTCCAGCTTCGATACAGGACTGGATGTTCTCCATCCTCAAAGTCCTGTGGCACAGCTCCTAGGCCTCCCTCCAACGCATCTGTTTGTAGGATAAACCTCCAGCTAAAGTCTGGACCACAGACGAAGCAGTACGAAGAATTCACTTTCTTTCTGCCAAAGGCCAAGGTGCATGCTGGCAACCATTGCATGGTTTTGGATGCTGTCTTATGTAGCTTTTCTATCAGCAGGGTGGTAAGCACCAAAAATTTCAAGATAAAGCAGCAGTAATAGCTGGCTAACCCCAGAAAGGACTTTAGCTGCCTTCTAGTTTTGGGCATAGGAAACTCCTCCAGTGATTTACCTTATCAGTGAGGGGTCTAACCTCCCCCAAGAGCATATTCCAAGTAGTTTCCCAGCACCCCACCCAGCATCAAGTGTTCAGCATCCCCTCACTTGAAAATGGCAGCAGGGGTGCCTTAGCTAAAGCTTTTTTAATAAGCTTTAGTTAAAAAGTGCCCCTGATGCCATTTTGAAGCATGGGATGCCAAATATACGAGACGCTGCAGGCGCTTTAATTAGAGCAGCTTCTGAGAGCCACTCGCATTGAAGTCCTTTCATCCCACCCGCCCCCTCCCCCTCCCCTCAGCATGTGTAAAAATGTCTTTAGAGACCAAAGAGGAAGGTTTTAAATTGACAGTCCCCAAGATGCTGGAAATATGGTTAGCTTGCAGGATTCTGGAACAAGGGGGATTTGCCAGTACCCCTCATCAGATTAAGCATGGATATGAATTTGGCCATCCCCAGCTGCTGCATCAGTTCAACTTGAAGCATCAGCTATACATTGAATTTCAATACTGCATTTAGTTTGCAGAAGTTCATGCAGAACCAGATTGTTTTGTCTGGTATAGGCACTAACACAACTGGGTTATACCATTTGCTCAACGATTTTCCAGTCATGTCCACATCCAACATATTTTGTACTTCTCTCTTTACTGTTTCTCATGGTCACTCAGGTATCTGGGAGAATCCCTTTTGGACCAGACAACCAGGTTTTAAGATAATTTGATGGTTAATCAAGATTGTTCTCCCTAGCTTGCTTGTAAAAACATCTGGAAGCTCTTTCAACAGGCCCCTAGCCTTCTCCTGTTAGGATGGGCATACGTTCTCTGCGAAGGTCACTTCACTGGGTTGGAGCTGAATCATATTTCCTCCAACTGTCCTCATCAGAAAAGCTGTTGCTGTGCTCAATGCTTCCTGGGCCTGCAAGGGTTTCGGGAGGTTAG